TTCGTTTGTACAGTTGTCCCAAATATGACAGCAGTAGTCGAAGTTTGGTAGGATAAAAGATGTGTACATAGTTTCAAGCGTATTTCTTGTTAGTCTGTATTTAAAGCTCCTTAGGCAGTTGATCATTGGACTGATTTTTCTAATAATTTCGTTAATGTGTATTTTCCATGAACAATCAGATTGAAGTGTAATTCCTAAATGTTTATGACTTTGTACTTCTTCAATAACAGTACTCTCCATGTATAAGTTTAGTCTAAAACCAGAATTGACTTTGCGACTGAATGTTATAGTTTTGGTCTTATTGGGATGGAAACCTACTTGCCATTTTTGGGCCCAGTTTGAGATTTTTGCCAAATCAGTGTTGATACAATTTGCTGCAGAGATTTGATCATCAATGATGACATATATAGATGTATCGTCTGCGAACAGGCGTATATTACTCTCGATACCTTCGACAATGTCATTTATATAAACAATAAAAAGCAGTGGTCCAAGGACTGACCTTGGGGGACCCCAGCTTGTACAAATTTTGATTCTGAGGTATAACCATTAATGACTACTTTTTGGACTCTATGTTCTAAGTAGCTTTCAGACCATTTCAAAAGATCACCTTGGATACCGTAAGCATTGAGTTTATGAATAATTCCTTCGTGCCATACTCTATCAAAGGCTTTGCTGACATCACAAAAAACAGCTCTGATTTCTTTACCTTCGTCTAATGCCCTAGCAATAAAATTATATAGGTAAGTGAGTTGATAAGATGTGGAATCGCCAGGCACGAATCCCGACTGTAAATTTATCAACAATTCGTTTTCTCTGAAAAAGTTAAACACATATTAGAGTATACCCTTTTCAAATGTTTTGGCTAAGCAACATGTAAGCGCTACAGGTCTATAGTTTGAGCATTCATGTACATCGCCTTTTTTGTGAATTGGTGTTACCGATGCTTGTTTCCAAACTAACGGGAAGGTTTTGTTTTTGAGCGACAAGTGAAGTTAAATAATTTTATCAGGATCGGAACTAGACGAGTCGCTGTTAATTTAAGTAACTTGTTACCTATACCATCTGGCCCTGTTGCCTTAGTTGTATCTACAGAAGTTGTATCTACAGAAAGAAGAATATCTTGAACTTCTTCTTGATTTAAATTCACAGATAGTAATGGATCGTCGATTGTATAATTATGGTCCAATAGATGCAAGGTCAGAATCGGGGTTTCTTACTCTTGCTTGGTCAGTGAATAATTCATTTAGGACATTTGTAATATCTTCAATATCATCATATAAAACATTATTTGATACTATTGACGGAAACGACGAATTTTCGGTGTGCGTTTTGACATATTTTTTAACTAGTCTCCACCAGATCTTAGTACCATATGAAGTATTTATGATGTTATCTATTTTTAGTTCATGAGCTCTTTTGGCTATTCTGACTGATGATATTACTTTATTCCTGCAAAGCCTAAATTTTACCCAATCTGACGGTCGATTTCTGTTTTTAGCAATTTTGTGAATACGATTACGTTTCCTAATAAGAGAGCGTATCTCGTTATTTATCCATAGAGGATCCTTTGTTCGTATTGTGACAGTTTTAGTTGGAATGTATTTATCAAATATGTCTTTAAGTCTACAGTCTAAGATCTTCAGTGATAATGTTAATATTATCAGACGAGAATAGGCTATCCAGGTCAATCTCATTAATACCTTGATTTATACCATCTGCATCTGCGAAGGGATAGTAATATATTTTTCTCTTAAACGCATAGTTTATGGGTATAGTTTCTTTTATATGAACAAAGATAGGGCAGTGATGGCTACAGATTGGATCAAGTACACCAGAAGACCTCACATTGTTTACACAGGATACGAATATTAAATCGATCAAAGTTTTAGAATTAGAGGTTATTCTTGTAGGATCTGTAATTATTTGTTTTAAACCGTACATAGATTGTAAATGTTCAATGTTCTTAGTGGTTTCGCATAGAATATCTAGATTGAAGTCGCCAGTAACAATAGTAAACATATCAAGATTAACAGCATTGCCTATTCATCCATCAATTAAATTCCAATAATGAACACATTTATCGGCACGATAAAATGTACCAATTAAGTAATTTCGAGTTTTACATTTAACCTGTATCCATATCGCCTCAAGCTCGGCAAGTTCTAAATTTCTCATTATTTTAGCGTTTAGATTATTTTTAACATAAGCCGCAACCCCACCACCACGTTTGGATCTGTCTTTTCTAAATGGAGATTGAAAACCGGGAATCTGTATGTCATTGTTTCGAATATCTTCACTTAACCATGTTTCAGTCAAACATATTACATCGTATGAGCAAAATTCTGCGCTTAAAATATTCAATTTATCCCTGAGACCACGAACATTTAGGTGTATAATATTTAAGTCTTTTAAGTATTTAGGTCCAGGATGAGGGTGAACATCTCCACAGCAGAGGAGTAGAAAAATGAAGAAAATTGATAGTCGCAGATTATACAAACATAGAAATTTAGAAATGTGTACAAAAATCAGAAACTTAAATGAGTATTTAACATGAAGTGTAACTGCAAATGTACCCACTGCTTGTCTATATTGTGATATGTCAACCGACATCGAATGTTAGTATGATAAACAAAGGCACAGTGGGTCGCAAAAGAAATGGACAAACGCACAGACACACACAAGCTACAGATATGGCTCGGTACAAGATACAAAAATAAGCACTATTTTGGTTTTCTTTTCTTGGACAACAAACAAGTACGAAAAATTTATCAAAAACAGAGATGAAAAAGTGAATGAACAACACAAACATAGTTTTCTCGGTTCGAGAAACAAAATATCCGATAAAAACAATCAGGGATAATGCATGTCTTAATATCAATACAACAGAGAATTACAGCTATTGGACATAATGCAAGTGTCATACTCAAGGAGAATGATGGCCAATGTCATACGGTAATTATAGTTGCAGGTTAGCGCTGTATACTGGGGTAGGGCGAGAAACACGATTAGGTTACATAACATAAGTTGGCTGCACGCTTTACGCAAGTGGTTTTAATGCCGTTGGATACCTATTACAATAAAGAAAGAAAACCCAAAAAGTAAGTATTTGTTGAATACAATTTTAAGAGAGTGATGCAATAGATATTTTAAAAATGTTTGATTGAGGGAAATATATGGCGCTGTATCGGAATGAGTGGTCAGCCGGGGTTTTAATAAGTCAGCAATCATATCATATGCAAGCAAAGTGGACCACATCAGTGTTTTGACATTGAATTCTAAAACTTACTGGATTGGGAGGGTAATTTGAACCATAATTATAGAGTATTTACTTTTTGAGTTATTTAATATGTGATTAGCTGCGACTTGATTCAATCACCGCATGGTTTATTTTACTAGGTCATTTGGTTGAGGTACCAGTACATGTACAGTTTAAGAGAAACAGGTGGCCAATAATTTACGATAACTATATTTGTATGCCTTAAGCGCAGCACACTGGGGTAATACGGGAGACTCGATTAAGTTACATAACATAAGCTGCTGCACGCTTTACGCAAGCGACCTCAATGCGACTCTGTCGGCTGTTTTCATACCGTTGGATACCCATTACAATAAAGAAAGGAAACACAAAAAGTAAGTATTTGTTGAATACAATTTTAAGAGAGTTATGCAATAGATTTTTTTAAAAGGAAGTACCAGTAACCAGAAGTTTCTGGCAGCTGCACATGGCAAACACGTACGCCAGTTGATATTCTCACTAGCTTACCAAACTGAGCAAGACATGTTTTATTGACTGCACTGTATTTTTTAACTCCCGGACGTCTGATGAAACGTCCCGGACGTTTCCTGACGTCCTCGGACGTTTAATAGTAGGACCCACGAACACGGGTTATAATATCCCGAAACAATATATATTCTTAAATATATTTGATTGTTACAGAGACACGTGACATCGAATAAGTTTCTTTGTACAGCTGCAGACGTGTGGGATATTGTTCCTTTGTGTTGATATTCACGGATACATTCCTCGAACAAGGAAGCTGCCTAAAATTATACAAATAAATTTGATAGGTTGTAATTATGATATTTCATTTTGTTTTCCTTCATTTGCTGTAGCATTGGACAGATTCATTCCTGTTCCTCTACGTCTTGGTTGGGAAATTCTTCGATGCGCGATAGACGTTGTTTTCACGATTCTTTTCCTTTGTAAGCGTGTATATATTACTGTCAATTTGTAAAATGTGATTCTCTCAGGCAATTTATAAAATGTGTAAATATTTCAGTCATTTTGACTGAAAAATCTGTCCATTTCTTTAACAGATTGACTAAAACTGATTAAGACGACCAAAAGGGCCTATAAACATCACAATAGATTATTATGTAGGATTAGAAGCCAAACAATATAGGAATGTACTTTTCATCGTAACATTTTCAGTCCCTTAGTGATGATATTAAACATAAAAATGTTTGGAATTCGTTGTCATAACAATACAGTTGGACATATTTTCCAGTCAATTTGTAAAACTGAATATTTAGGCGTTTAATAAATTTCCTTAGTGAAAATTTTGCCAATATTAACTGAAAATATAAACACGAAAAAATAAGCAATGCTCAGGTGAAATACTTTGTGTTGCAAGTCAAAATAGTGTTAACAAATCGAACAATTACCAAGCAAGTGACTTATCAAAACTTTGTCACCATTACCGATGCTACCTACAAAGATACCTGCATTTCCTTATTATTTCCAAAACTGTATTTCATTTTGATTATCAATGTGACCTTACGCCCTTATACTATCAATAAAAGTGACAAATGCCCTAAGAATGGCATGGCGCAGCACAGGTCGCGAACAAGTCCAGATTTCTGCATATATCATCCGGGTACTCACAGAGAAAAACAATACCAAAGGCAACAACCAGTCCCGGGGAATTGCTTTAGACCAGTGCCCCTCTAAGATTCAACTGAAGACAAGAAAGAATACAAAAACAAAGCACTTTAACTTTTGTTCAATCTGTTTATTTACATGTAAAATGATGAGACTAAAATGACATAAAACGACAGTAATGTGAATGAAAGGTGTCCGGATGGGCTTAGATGGGCTTAATTTTGAAGTGTAGACCGATGAGAGAGAAGACAAGACACTTCAGATCTTGTACCAAGTAGTAGAAGGTTCTCAATCCCTCGGGATCTCTGGAAGAAGAAACAGGATCATTAACAAAAAATAACAACAGTGAGCAAGGCTATATAAAAAATAACATGATTGATCCACGGACCCTGTAAAAATGCAAAGTGGTAAAAAAAACCTAAATTCTGAGCTTTTTTGTTGCCTTCCGCTGACTTAACACCAACAATGCTAACAAACCAAAAATAAAACATGGCGTATCTGGATTCAAACCCAAGATCAAAGGGTCCTGGCATGGCTAAGGAATGCAACACTGCACAGTAAATAGTATCTCTTACACTAAGGTGCAAAAATCAGCATTAGCTACGGCACTTAACAAGCATGAAAGAGTTACCTCCCCTGCATTAAGATCAGAATGATCTCCAATCGCTTTGAATGAAACACTTGATGTTTACTTATTACCAGAAAAAGAATTCCATAGGTGTTGTTCTTTTGCTGCTTACAACAATGTACAATTATTGAATGATGTCCATATTTAAGATATATTTGCTTGTTGTTTCACACTGCAGTCAGTAATGCATCCCAAAGTCATGTCAGGATTCGCTTATCATGGTCAGAATATTGGCTCTAATAATGGCCTGTCAGGACTACACTAGTGAAGGTGTGTTCAACCAAAGAGGTAGACATCTCATCTATGACTTTTGTCTTTGAACTTCCTTCCACAAAAACAGGTATTGACTGCATATGACCTGTAATTGCATATAGTTTGTTTTTTCAAATCCCTGCCTCAGGAGATGACTCACTTGCTCTGGTTGACATCAACAAGGGAGCCAATCTTTGATGTCGTGAAAGAAATATGTTCATCTCCAATCACAATCTCCAGCTCCTGAAACAAAAACAAACTATTAAGGGATCTGAGTTCAAATGGTGGAAAAGGCATGTTGTACGAGAAACATTTTGGCCGTAATTCTGTATTTAAAGTAAGGGTGTGGCCATCATGAGCATCCATGACGGTCCAGTGTATCATATCTCAACTCTATTGTGCTAACCACCCTGGACCTATTTGCCACCATATCTTCGAACTGATGTCATTATTTTTCATCTCTTTTTCACAGAATTTCTCATCGTGCCCATGAGCATAAATTGATATGTCGGTTGTTTTCAGCCTTGCTTCCTTTGAATTGGGCTCCAAATGAAGCTCTATGGTAGCAAATGGGTCCAGGGTATTTATCATATAAGAATGGACAATGTTGATGACATAGGGCATGTGATGCTTACGTGAGTGAGCCCATAAATTGGGCTTTACACATTGTACCCATGTCGGGAATCAAACCTGGGTCTTCGGCGTGATGAGCGAACGCTTTAACCACTAGGCTACCCGACCGCCCCTGTGATGCTTACGATATGAGAATCTTTTGAATAGACAAATGTTGGGAACCATGTACTCAACTGGCACACATGACATATTTCTTGCATCATAACTGAAATAGACTGTGAATAACATGATACCCAGTTCTTCTGTGAACACTGGACTACATGTAAGCAGTTGTAGTCCTCTAGTCCTTATAAGGATAACATATAGTGAAACCCTCAAAAAGAATTAATAGCTACTAGTCCTTATGATAGTGCAGATACCTTAACTTTTGGGCAGTTTGGCAAGGACTAAAGAACTAGTGCAAATTCCTAGTGAGGTGAAATAGGGTTTAATGTCGTGTGAACACAGTGTTCAACAATACCGGTACTCACTTGTCTGCCCACTCTGTCTGGTGCTGGCCACAAGTTGTCGTCTTCTTGCATAATCTCGGAGTCCTCGATGATTCGTTTCAGCTCCTCCATGACTGACTTGTGGACATAAGCCTGCAACCACATAAAAATGACTTTTGTTTGTATGTTGTTTAACATCACAGTACTATTCCTGCTATATGATGGCAGTGTGTACAAAATTGAGACTGGAGCTGACAATCCAGAGATTGACATGTCCATCGAGCCACACAATTGATTTGGGGATGTAACTGAGTGTGGCCACTAAGTCACTGAGTGTGGCCATTTAGTCACCTCTTACGACAGCATAGGTTGCTGGGGACCTATATCATGTCTATCCTTACCATGCCTACCTGGAATCCCCTCTAGTCAGGCCTCAAAGTTTAAAGTTTTACTAAGTAGCCATATGGCTACAAGTATTTTTTTCCAGCTAGCCAGTGGTAAAATTAAGAAGTCAAGCCAATAGTGCAGGTAGCCAAAAGCATTTTAAATTATCTTTGATCAAATAACTATTATTGCATATTAGTAGAAACTTTACTTGAGTTTTGTTAATATTTGTGACTCGAACAATGATGCAAAAAAAATTATGTTAGTAGATCATATAGGTATATCCTTGCTTATCCAATAAACTATCAACTAAAATAAATAACTAATTACATTAATATTTATATATTTCGGTTCATTGTTGACTTTAGGATGAATTATTTGTGAGTACAATTAGTAGCAGACATGTTTATTTTGGTGTCTAAATATGTGTAGCAATAGAATTTAGTCACCACAAGATATTTTTCAAGGTAGTCATTTGGTTACCCCTGAATTTTAGACAGTAGACAAATTGAAATTTAGGTCGCATTGGCGACCATTTTAGTCACAAATTTGAGGCCTGCTAGTGGAAACTAATGATGAACCATGAATCAAAATCATATGCCTGTTACCATGGCAACCAGTATGAAAAGTAGGTTCAGTACTGGCCATTGACCACTGCTTTAATTTAATCCGTTATCATCTTATTTGCTAAGAACAAGGATGATAAGTCAAGGAAATGGATTCAGATTACAGATTTGACCATTAATTGCTTTTTTTCATTTAGGCTTCTTCTCAAATCATGAACATGATGAAGTGAGTAAGGTTTATGCCACTTTTAGCAATATTCCAGCAATGTCATGGCAGTGGACACCAGAAATGGGCTTCACACATTGTACCCATGTCGGGAATCGAACCCGGGTCTTCAGCGTGACGAGAGAACGCTTTAACCACTAGGCAACCGGACCGCCCCTCTCAAATCATGAAATAAAATGCTGAATCACAATGATATTTTCAATCAACATATATATTTATCATGTACATGATGTACAGATAGAATGACAACATAAAACAAGCAACTGCAAAAAGCATGATCAGAAACACATCTATTCATTGTTAATTTATACAATGCTTAAATAGTTCATTGAGCACTGCTGAAAGAGTTAAATATTTACCTACCTCTTTTCTGATCATTGTGTCATTTTTGTAGTTTGAGTTGTTGGCATATCGTAGTTTACCTGCAACACAACATTTCACACTTTAAGGAGAATTCACTTCAATTAAGAATTGACTTTCACTTTGTGTAAGGTCACTGGACATCAGAGCTTGCAACAACACTCAAACAATGTTTGGCCCTTTATTGAGGCTGAATCAGTGAATGGCTTGTCATACTGAGCATGTTGAGCATTGACTATCACAGAAATGTGGCTGAGGTGCTTGACCACTGTCTTTTCTGTCCACAGAAACCTACTTGGTTCCACATGTTCCAGGTCAGTGTACAGTAATCTTCACTACCTTACAGTTATTACTTTCGGCAAGTCAGTTTTGTTATCATGGTTATAGCAAAACTGTTTACCAATACCATTTCTTTCTTCAGCATGTTCAGGCATATATAAAAAAGGTGCCAAACAATGAAACTTTTGTTCATCAGAATGTACACTGTGCGTCTACTGGTATTTGTACTGTCAGCGTCACTATTATTATTAAGATACATCTTAAATGTTTGGTTATGCTGAAGTGGGTTGGATTGCAATAGCTCATTGTTGGCACCATTGGATAGGGTTCAGATTCATGTACACCAGGTACACCAGGTACACTGACATAGAATTAGAACCAGATAGGTTTCTGTATACATAAAAATACCAGCTGTGGTCACCATACATCTCTGTGCTGCTCCTTATAAATGAGTTTGATCTTTCGCTACACAGAGCTATGAGCTGTTCCATAGTAGATTGAGCTTTCCTAAAAGATTTCTGATTTGGAATATACTGCATTAAGAACCCTGAACCTTATAGCATGTATAGTGTTAATCATGTTCATTGGCTCAGGCTGCTGGCTCTCACATCACAGATCTTGTTGTTGCAAGGTACTTCTAACTATCCTTAGCCCTTGGATGTCCGACCGAGCACCCCTTTATGAGAGTTAGTTAGATTCCCCCTTCTGATAGTTGTGAATTATATAGGTAAGCTATCACTTTTAACATGCTGAACAATTAATTCAATGTAATTTGAGGAAAATCCTTGATTTTTTAAATCACGTTTCGAGGGGGAAATGGCTTTTGCCCATTCGCAATAAAGGTAAACAAATGATTGCTGATCACCTGGTAAATTAAGCACTAATCATTTGTGGAGCCCGTGGTAAAGTGTGGGTCAAGACATTTCCCCACATTAGATTCACTCCTCCAGGCAGCGCCAACTGAAACCTGGTAAAGTGCAGTACTTATTTCTGTAATATTAGTACCCTTTCAGGCCTTCTGACAGAAATGTTCACAGTCAGGCGTCACAGATAGAAATCGTAGTGTTTACTGATATGTTTATCATGTTAATGGGATAAGGTGAAAAATGAAAGTGAAAGCTTCCATCTGTAACGGATGATATTCTAGTTTGTTGTCCGCGTTTAAATGGAGGCGTACAATTCACGATAATCCTAAATCAATATTCAATTGAAAAAAAGGCAAATCGCGGATACACTTTTCGTATGAGTCGCACGTGTGGCTTCACGTATCCCGATATTTTCTTGCAACGAAGGCTGTAAACAACATCTACATTCTTTATAATAAACCAACATAACTTAAATATTGCATACCGTCTGGTCTAAACTCAAATTCAAGGAATTCATGTCCAAATTTTCCTTTGTGTCCAACATAATATCGGAGGTAAAAGTCGGTGCTTCCCGTCGCCATTTTTGAAATAGTATCAAACCGCCCTTTCGTATCCGTATTTTTAAGAGGTTCCAAGAGATTAAATAAAAACAATTCTTTTTATAGAATTATTTATTGATAACGTAAAGGGGATATCTTTTTCATTTTTTTGCGATGTAAAATGTATATCAGATGGAATGTTATATTACGAAAACATATTAATTTCGGACTGCTTTGCTTAAAGTATTCAGGGGCAAGTAACTCCCCATATTACTTTGGAGCCAAACGCCTAGAAAACGTTGTGCATGTCTGAATGACTGCAACTCTGACACTATGTCCGAAGATATACCAGAAAAACTTATAACTTCTGTTGACTGTAAACAAGGCGCAGTGAGAGCCGTTCGTTTTAACGGTACAACACACATCACTCCTTTCTATTAATAAAGTAAAAGGAAACATATTCATGATAGCTTACTCGAAGCACAGGATCATGTAACTAGTAACGTAACCCAAACGAATTCGTACAAGAATGAGAAATGTACCCCAGGTCGTAAGTAATTTCGTAACCTTAAGCAATGAATACACTATATAAAATATTAACTGAGATTTAGATCTAAACAGTATATGATGTAAATGCATATTATCTTATAAACGAATATTTAGAAATACGAAATAGGGTTACAAGGTTTCTTATTGTTTAGGGTTACAAAATTTCTTGGCGTACAAAATTTCTGTTGGTACAAATTTGTTTGGGTTACGAAATAACCGCAACCCATGAAACGAGAGCCACAGGCTAGTACAAGCAAGCACACATACACACACATCACACACAAGCCCTTGGATCCCCTTTCTTATCAAGCACCCTTCACAAGTTTTATCATGTTAAAGCAGGCCTTTCCGATCAAAGACCCCTTCATGATCTTAGGGTTTAGCTGTGAGTTGTGATCACTCTCATCATTATATGATCTACTTCCAGAGCTCCAGATAACTTTTTGAGCAATTGAGTTTTTACTCTGGGGTTTCTATTTTAATTGGGTCATTACATTTTTCATTGGGTAACCAATATTTTTTCACTCATCTCTTCATCACTTTATTGGGTATTTCCCCCAAAGAGTGAAATAATGAAATGAAATAATGTTTTAGATGTACATAACCATGATAATTGTTCTAAATATATAGGCTTGACTCTGAAAGTAAATATAGCTCGTAATTGTGTAGGAGATTGCGTCACCTGAACCCTGAACAAAGCTTGACCACCTGGTCTAAATGAAGGATGTGTGGGTTCTTGAGCCCACATTACCTTGCATTTATGTAACACAAGAAAAGTTATATAGAAGGGGGTTCATATTATGGTATTCACACAGATATTGAGTTTTGACTTTTATGAGGAAAAAATAATCTGAAGTACTGAAATGGGTGTGACAAAGTGCAGCACTTGTAGATCAGGGTAGGTGTTCAGAAGGCTGCAAAACTGATACATGTGGTCAAGGACTGATTGTTCTCTCAGTGAAACATTGTGCACATAGTTTGTAATTATTAAAAAGGAGATTATCTTAAGAGAATTTAACACTGAGCTGATTCACATGATAAATGGCAAATTAGAATCAACCCAAGAAACCTGAATCAATTATTTAGATATTATTTCGGTATTTATCCAAGCTCTAAACGATCTGTTGATTAACGTTTGCATTTGGTATCTGTTTATACCACACTGCCTCACATGACATTTTACCTCACATCAAACTGACACACCATGATATAACTGCAATACTTTTACAAGGCAGTAGCTTGGCGAAATATATGAAAAACAACAAACAAATACACAGTCTGATATATCACTGGGTAGGGTTTGCATGTATGGAACACCTTCAGGAGTCCTCGTTCGAAATCGACCAAAGAGTTTATGCATGAAATTTCAGTTAAAATGTATTTGCCTTGGGGGGGGGGGGGGGGGGGGGGGAAGAGTCTGAGTGTGTTTAATATGCACCTCCTTCTAAACAGCTGTGTTTTCTCTATTAAATTCTCAAGTTAACTTTAGGTTTAGTACGGGGCACTTATAGAGATTAACTACAAACTGGTCTAGAAGCTGGTCTGGGTTCAGAAGCTTCATAAATTTGGCTATGTGTATTTTGGTCATGTTCATGTTTTGGTGCATTAGTAGAATAGCCCCCCCCCCTTGAGGGTCTTTCAAGAACACAAATTCTTTGCCTTGACATCAATAATATCCTTGTAGTGTCTCTATTTGTTTGTGTTGACAGCTGATGGCAATTATTGCCTAACGTGTGGCAGCAACAAGACAGTCAAGTTGTGGAACCCTCACACAGGGGTTGTCTTGAAAACCTACATTGGACACGGCTATGAGGTGTTAGATGCTCAAAGTTCTTCAGACAACAGCCAAATCTGCTCTGGTGGAATGGACAAGACTGTAGTGGTCTTTGATGTTTCCACTGGCCATGCAGTGAGGAAGTACCGAGGTCATGCAGGTACACCTTGTCAGTCTTTAGTTGTTTGATCACAGAGGTACTTCATCGGGAAGGAAAGCAATAATTCCACAAGTAGATGCTCAACCTGATGTTCATATTTCGCCAAATCAATTATTGATACATTCTGTGCTTAATACACCTGTTCTGTGTCTTTGTTCTTAATTCGCTGAGTTTGCCGAAATCTTTCTTCCAAGAAAGGCTGACATTTCACACACTTATGGAGTTTGGAAATCAAAGGAGCCTAGGTTGAGCCTCATGTAATTGAGCAGCCCCACATGTCTCGTAACTTGCAACATCCCTAGTTTGTTTCGCTTTTTCCAAATAAAATCCCCCCTCCCATGCAACTTTGGCAGAAAAATCTGTGATTCACAAATAAGAGCATTATAGTCTTAGGGGGTTAAAACTTCTCAAAGAGTTTACTTGACCCTGTTTACTGATCCATAATTAATATTCACCAGATTTCATGAGTTGTTTGGTCGCTTTTCAACCGGCTGTGAGGTTGTGTAGTCGTACTATCCCTTGAATGATATTAACATTTACATACATGCATACTGAAGCAGGGAGTGAAGAAACATTTCGGTCATATGGTAAGGCAAAAAAAAAGAAAACAATTGTGTTTCAGGTAACCCGACCAATCCTTTGTGACCCAAATGGTTTTATCACAGCTGGAAACATACATAAAAGAAATCCATAGTTCACGTTTGGAAACGAATTGTTTGTTTACACTTATCATCATCACTGCAGCTATTTTGCAGATAAACTATTTTAGACATGGAGTATTTACTCACATGCTACCATTCACATGGATATTGATAGTGTTCCTGGGGTATTCGGTATATATGTACTCTCTTGGATCCTGTCTATCAGCATATGTTAGTGTGCTGTCCCAATTTTGCCACATCTTGCATAACAAGAGCGATACATGTTTAAGTCGCAATTTGCTAGATGTTGCACACCTGTGCATTATTCACTGCAGTAGAGGATGTATACATGATATACATGGTTCAGAATTATGGTCCTCAAATGCTCAAGTCAATGAGAGAACTACCATCTATGATGTTTCTTTGTCCTCAGGAGAATTTTGTAGTCTCTGGCTAGTGGCTACGTGTGGATTTGAGTGACTGTATACCGAGACCTACCTATATAGGTATATATAAATAAAAAGCACGGTAAAGTTCTAAATCTCAGGCACAATATAGTTATGATTAAATAAGTGGAGTAACAGGTCATAACATTTAGGAGAACTATGACGTCACAATACCAAGGTGACAATGGACAAATAACTTACGCCTTTACATTTAACTTAGGCGCGTATTTATGAATGAAATGTTGCTCTTTTTGAAACAGTGTAGGTTCATGATAAAAATTTAGCTTATATAGCGGGAAAACTAAAAGGTTGCCGCTTCCACATGTATCTAAATGTTCACTGAGTGGAATCATGCGGTTGTGTGGCTACTTTATTTGTGAACGGTGAAGATTCATTCTTCTATTTAATTTAAGTTCTGTCTTTCCGATATACTTTTCATTGCATCCACTACAAACAATCAAGTAAATAACATTTCTAGTATCACAAGTCATATTTTTGTTTTACAGTAAATTAAGTGTCCTTTGTAATTTGGACTGAACAGCCTTCAATTATATTGCTGCAAATAAGGCAACGTTTGTCACCGCACTTAGAAACCTGTGGAGTGATGAATATACTGTACTACTCAAAAGAAGTTAAAGAACACCCAATTCTTTCATATTACTATAGTTAATCTCACATGCCAAGACAGATTAAATATAGTAATATGAAAGAATCGGGTGTTCTTTAACTTCTTTTGAGTAGTATATATGATATAGTGGAGTAATGAATATATAATATATATTGCAATATATATATATATATATATATATATATATATATATATATATATATATATATATATATATATAATAAAATGCCTGCCAGTCAAATTTAATAGATTTGGATGAACATCAAATAATTACTTTATTGTGGCAGAATTAATATATTAACACTGAGGAAAGACATTTAACACACTGTCAATTAAAAATATATCATTTGTTATTGATTCTGTTTCCAGGAACAGTCAACTGTGTGAAGTTCAATGAGGAATCAACAGTTGTATTGTCTGGATCTTTGGACAGCACTGTAAAAGCCTGGGATTGTCGTACAAGGAAAAACACACCAATTCAGGTACGTCAGCCCAGACTAGAAACCCTGTTTGTGCATGTGCTTATCACTAACAGCAGCAGGGTTCCTCCTCTGCTGCATCATTTGCATCCTCGACCACATCCAGTCATCTATGCTGCTGCAGTTCCCTACAATAGTAAACTATGTTGGCATGTGAATAGTAGTTGCTTGTCTTGTCCTAGGTGATGGATGAGGCAAAGGACAGTGTGACGTCCATCCAGGTCTCGGACCACGAGATACTCACTGGCTCAGCTGATGGACGTATTAGAAGATACGATCTCAGGAACGGAAAACTCTTCTCTGATTACATTGGGAGTAAGTGTCTTAGTTCAGGGCTCCAGATAATGTTTTGAGCCCTTGAGTATTTACAGGGGTGAGAATCTTCTGCGGATCGGCGAATTGCCGTGAATTTTAGTGACCACAAATTTGTTATAATCTCATGGCTTCCCCCTAAACACCCCCAAATAATGGACCATGCTCCATTGCAAAGAAGTTTCAGCTGAAAAGGAAAATATCCATTCCCCATCCCTGTATTTACACACATATTAGCATTCACTTTGGGTGTGCATATTTTTTTGGGGGTATTCATTACATACTGTTTATTCCATTGGTTTCATCATAACACATAAATTATTGAACTTATCCTATCTCACAGTATGCATTTCTTCTTTCTTCTTCGATCCTATGTTTCCGATCAGAACAGAGTTTCCAGCCTTTAAAAAAAGATTCACCAGAACACATCTCAGCATCACCATGGTCACCACCCAGACAAATTGGTCACACACTGTAATCCTATGCATAGCAACCTTCACGGCCTGATCACGTGATTACCCCTGCCACATCATTCTCTTTCTCGTCGCCACTCAGTGTAATGAGTGTAATATGTAATCCTCTTACAGACGAAACATTCAGCGTATATCTTCACAAGTGTCATCAACGTGAGGTGGATTGCCGTTCAAAGTCCACGGACTCGGTCAAGAAATCGAAGGAGAAGTTGTCTACAAAGAAGTCGAAGAGGTTACAGTTGCAGCGCCTCTGGAATCTTCCCTGTCAGCTTCTTGACAGAAGACGTTGTTACTTTACCTCATCAACAATCTGCATCGTCTTCAATTTTGGTCGATCCTTCTACCACTCTTAGAATGCTTGATACCAGCCTCCTTGCGTCTCCGCTCCTTCCTGTGTTGTTCCAGTTGTTGACGGTCACTCCTCTTCGCCTACAGACGATTGTGCTCCTCCATTGACGGTGTCGAACAAAGATTGTTGCTACTGGTCGTCAGGGGAGTAAAGATGGGTCCCGTGCCTCTCCCAATTATTTAATTTTTAAGGATAGTCAATTGTATGATCGATGCTTGAAGAACCACTCGCCTAGGGAACCACTCATTCTCAGGATCGATGACGGGTACGAATACCTGCTCTCGGCATCAGCACTCAAGAGATAGGCACTCTTAGGATCGACATTCTCATGATAGGGTTCGACTGGTCACTCTTAGGATCGGCGGTATAAAGCTTGACGTTCTCAGGATCAGCACTCGTCAGGATCGTCTGGCTCGGTTGAATGCTCTTCAACTTTTGGTTGCTGCTTGTCCTCCAGTTATGAGGATCACCATCATCGTTCCCACTCCTATGATTATCGGCATCAGTGACAGGAATTTCAAGCTTGGGATTCCTCTTGAGATGGCACCGATGCTATCCATTCCACATGGATGGGAGAGCTACCCCCACACTTAGACTCGTAACCACAATCACGCGTACCCTCATCCTATTACCTCGTCCTATCTTGACCTATGCTCCTGCACTGGATATTACGGCTCTCCTCATCGGGATCCACCTTTCGATTGCATTCAACATGAAGAACCTCGTCATTCCTCGCCTTCTCATAGATGTTCATCACCATCAACCACTCATAAGGATCACCGTTCTCCGAGTTGCTCCCTATCTGCTTCTCTGCTTTCAGTTCGTGTTCTTTCTACCTCATTGGTATCGGCTTTTGTGACACTCCCTCCGATCACGCAGTCGCTCCCTGCCTCATAGGACCATAAAGACCAGGCTCACAATCTGTCACTGAACCGAATCGTTTCTGCGAGTGAGGACCACTGCCCCCCAGTATCGTTGGTCTGGATAGCGCGAACTTCCTGCTCCGACTCCCACATAGTCCTCTCCTCCTGGCACAGCTGTTCCTCCGATTGTGGATCATGCACAGGCTGACAAAGATATGGATCATCAACCCTCCCCTGCATCGTCTTCAAAGAGTTTTGAACCTGCAGACCCTGCGCTGGTCCTTCATTGGAACACGGACTAGCTTCGACTTCAAAGCAGTACATCGTCGAATGATCGGTTGTCGTGCTTCGTTGTTCCCTCTGCCAGCTCTACGAACATCAGGCTCCCTCCCAGGCCTGTTTTGACCAATAATCTTGACAGGGCAGATTTCAGCTCCAGAACTTGATGTCGACACCTCGACCCTTTGCCCGAAGCATTTGTTGACCATCAACTGGAGAGGATCGTGACCTGGCTCATCTCGACTCTACTGGCATCCATCACCTTTTCGGCAATGGAGGCTATTACGACTTTGATTTCTCCTGCTAAATCACATGAGGCCTTTATTTGTGGATTGGTTCTTTTGATTCAGGATAAGATCACGGCTATCTGGCCCTCATCTCACATCACGCAGATTCTGTCACAGCCTTGCGATGCAGGGACGTTCCTCAACATTGCCATTGGGATGATCCTTTCAAAGCCCGTTTGTACCAGCTCCCCTTCTCAGAGTTTCTTTGAGGACTACATGCAGGATATCAGCAGGATACCCATCTTCAGGTGTCAGTCGATCTCCTGCGTCTACCGATGCATGTACCCAGTCTTGCTCTTCATACTACACTTCGTGTATATACAAGATAAATCTTGTAACTTTAGATTCTGTGTTTATTGGGTTTTTTTGTTATTCGGGCTCCCAAATTGAGTACCTAATTGGAGGGTGGTTTCGCTGGTCTGTAGAGACTTAGGTCTTCGACGTGTCTCCACCATTCATCCTGCTCACCTCTGCCTTGAGCATGTGTTGTTGGGTACTGGCTCAAAAATCCTCTTTTTGATATTGTTGTTATTGTACTCTCGTTGTCTTGGCATGTTTCAACCCCTCAGGTGTGAGTGTGAGTGATAGTTTTGACGAAGCGTTAAAAGAGATGCCGAGCAGCCCTACTCAATTGTCCATGGGAGATAGTGTTGTGTTCTGTCTTGTAGAATCGATTGACTGGAGACTCCTTCCAGATCGATTATAAGTCATATGCTGTATCGCTTGTTCTTTACAGATACAAGGTCGTTCATGTAACTATGTCATATGTGAAAACACCTTCTGCATGTTATACCTGATTTCATGCGGTTACATCCGATAAACGTATCATGAAAGTAACACCAGTTACAGTTGTGTGTTTTCCTGCTCACGAGTTATTGTTTTTTGCTACACTAGGCAGTGATTTAGATTCTTCATTTATTTCACTGTTTAGCACCAACTATCTCGTGTAAGTTGCACAGTCATAGTCTCTAAGGGCTCTGCACCCAACCATCCAACCAGCAGATAAATGCATGGTTAGATAGGATAAGCTTAAGAATTTGAAATGTTTACAATAACTTGTATATTTTAATACTTATCCTATCTCACATGTAATATGTCCTCCGACAATCTCTGCATCACAACTCCTCTAGCCTGTAGGTTCTGAGGAAAGAGGATGATGTGACAGGGGTAGTCACATGATCAGGTTGTGGTGGTTGCTATGCAGGGATTACAGTGTGTAACCCATTTGTTTAGATGTTGACCATGGTGATGCTAGGACATATTCAGGTGAATATTTTAGAGGCTGTCAAGCACATTTCTACATAGGATCAAAGAAGAAAGAAGAAATGCATAGTGTGAGATTGGATAAATATATAAATATACAATTTATTATTAAATTTTCAATTCTGCTAAAACCATTCTGTTTACTTCTAACTGCATCTGTCCTTGCGATGGATGCCCTGAGTTGGTCACATCTTGCATAAGGTCACAACAGAGATACATGTCTTAGTTTTAAGAAGGAGCACGTTTTTGCCTAGGCTAACAAAAATAATAGTCTTGGTTCTCAGGCACCGCCCGCCTCATCATAAAGTCTGCCGCACATTTTGTTTTTATTTCCATTTACCAAAAAAATAATTGAAATGCTATTAAATGCTTTATCAAAATGTGATCCAATATAGCACGCAGTTACTTCCCTTTACATGCGCACTGCTTGACTACCCATCTGGTGTTATGGTCATGGCGGCAATAGGAGTTTTTTTATGTAGGGAGGCCCTTTCCCAATTTGATGGTACATAACTGCATATTTGGTTTCATACTAGTTTGAACAAGCAACCAAAAAAACCCACCGCCCACCCGCACTATATTTTCAAAAGTCATTGCCTGAGAACTATTTGTTTTATTTTATTTTTTTCCTTATTCACGGTAGAAGAGTTCATGTGTGTGATCATTCGTATTTGATCAGTTAATGAAGATCTGAAACAGCTACATTGAGTAATTGCACACAGCGCTTTGTGCTATTTATTTTTTCATTTTAAAATGTTTTCATGCATATTTTTCTGCAAGGAAATCATAATTAGTAGGATTGGGGTGATTTATTATTACCGTATTCAACGTAATAAGAACCCATCTTTAATAAGCGCCCACGACGATATTTGCTAAAATATTGGCAAGTGAACAATCCCAATTATCACCCCTTCCGATTAATCAATGTACACAAGACTTATTTATTGGTGTATGATATGCACTTGTGTGTTAAATGCACACTTATTTATGGGCAATTAAATGCTGGAAAATATATCTGTCGTGTATAATACGCACCAACTTTTCTATTGTATTATTTCAGGCTGTCAACATAAACCACGAAATTTACAATCTTTTTTTTCTCAGCAAAATTATACATGTATTCTAATAAGAGCCCCCTATGTCTAATTTTGAGAGTACCCTGGGTGCTTATTATGTCAAATACGGTATACTATTTTACTCAAATGTGCAGCCCATCAGGGGTTCTGCCAGCTAGAGAGAATTGTTCCTAAGGAACTTATGCTGGTTGAAAGAGGCGACTTCATGGATCAGGTGGTCAGACTTGGTGACCTGGTTGATAGCATGTCTTTGTATCCTGACGGTGTCAATATGGCTTGTGACCCGTGAATAATCCGGGGTTGAATAGGTCTTCAGCAACCCATGCTTGCCGTAAAAGGCGACTATGCTTGTCGTAAAAGGCGACTAACGGGATCGGGTGGTCAGGCTCGCTGACTTGGTTGATACATGTCATCGGTCCCAATTGCGTGGATCGATGCTCATGATATTAATCACTGGATTGTCTGGTCTAGACTTGATTATTTACAGACCGCCGTCATATAGCTGGAATATTGCTGAGTACGGCGTTAAACAACAAACCAACCAACAATATGGCTTGTAATATCAATCACTTGATTGTGTGGTCCAGACTTGAATATTTACAGGTTGTCGTCACATAGCTGGGATATTGCTGAGTGCAGAGTTGAATCACCAGCAAAACAAGGGATGTAGCTCATAATATCAGCCACTTGTTTTTCTGGCCCAAAAATGTCCTGATATAACTTGAATATCACAACAATCAACAAACAAACAAAACTAATGAATGTCATATGTTGATGTATTGTGTACACTTCAGCCTCTGTTACGAGTGTGACGTTCACCCGAGACAGTCAATGCACACTGACCAGCACCCTGGACAACAAGCTCCGTCTACTGGACAAGGATACAGGGGAGCTCCTAAATGAGTAGGTGTCCCATGATTTGTCGGGGGTGTTAAGTGTGGTTTTATAAATGGGATAGTTTTCGCCTTCAATAAGTTATAATACCAAAGTGTGTTAATTATTATTCAGGAATTATGTGCAAAACTCTTTCAAAATCTCTTGCTATTAGTGCATTATTGACAACGGTAGTTACCCAGCATTTTAAGTCTTTTCTTTGAGAAAACACCTCGTAGGAGGGAGAAAAGATGGTCATATAACTGTATGAAGCATTCATAAAATGTTCAGTGTATGCCTGGAAAATGTGAACTGAGATAAGAGTCAGTGAGTTAACATTGCAAAGGCAATATCTCGGCCATAAAGCGAATCAGCTGAGTTGGCCTTCTTTGGTAGTTGATTATGAGAACCTCCCCATGACACCTTCCCAAGGCAATGGCACTAACTGACTTAAAAAGCCCAGTTTCCACCCTTGCAGAACTTGGCTGGAATTTTGTGGCTCGATCATAGTGCCACCAGTGGCTAGTCCTTCCTATTGACCAATCAGATTCCACCCCTCACGTCACTTGCATGTGCTGCATACAAAATGGTGACACCCAGTCAAGACAATTTGATCGATATTGATATTGTAATAAAACAGGTCTTACTTTACGAAGTGCAGCAAATCACCTTCATTAAAAACATGAAAACATTGGAAAATGCCTGTTCATGTCCAGTTGATAGTACACATGTTTTACAAATCCTACAGTCGACTGAACTCTGCATGTTGAAGTCCATCTTGTTTATGTTACGCTATTTCGATTGGACTGCACAGATTCGGTAGTCCAGCCAAAATGTAACTCTGGACTTCCAGGTTTAAGTTTTTGCAAAATGTAGTGAATATGAATTACCAGTGTACTTTTTTTTCAAATACATGCAGAATTATGACATGAATCGATAGATGGGTAGGCTTATCACTAGGTAAGCCTAGTGCAGATTTTTGTCAAGGGCATGTTAGACACAAGAAGATGTGATATAATGATGTGTCTGTGTTGCACCTTACAGATATGAAGGCCACAAGAACAAGGAGTACAAGATAGACAGCTGTCTCAACTGGAAGGATACCCACATCGTCAGCGGCTCAGAGGACAGCTTCATCTACGTCTGGGATCTCATTGATGTAAGACGACAACATATGGTCTTTAAACTTCACTCTGTTCTGCTGGCCGAGACTACTAAATTATGCTGAGGACATGTAAAAACCCAATGATGGTGGTCCTCATTGACAAGTAGCATTTGAGGGCTATAACGCAGACATAAGCAGACAGAAGATTAAACATGGTGAATATTTTTGTCTTGTTCAAGCAGGACTAGCTACAAACTGACGACCAGTTTAACTATGTTTACTCTAGTTCTCTGGTAGCAGGTTAAAAATGGGGGTCCCAAGCTGCAAGCTGAGGTTCCAGAGAAATGTTGAAAGTTGAATACAGTGCTGTAAGACTGTGCGTGCACAGAAGCAGTTTGTTACAAATCGATACAACTGAAACAAATCTACATGTGCTAGTGCTAGAGGATTGTGAAGCTTTTACCCATGTATTGTAAATGATTATGTACATAAATTAATTTTGAGTGGTACCAAATTATGGATGCAGGGTAGATTTGGTTGATAGATGTTTACTGTCTGCCCTTTGTTCCACTTGCAAGTTATCCATTAACACGCAAGGCTTATTCAAGGTTCATATTTATTTCAAGAGTAGATTGTTTTTAAAGGTGGTATAGAGGTTGAGACAAAAACAGTATTTGTAACAATCACTTTCTGAAATGACAATGACATTATTTCTGACTTTGAATTCTCCCTTCTCTTACAGGCCAAGTTATTGCATAAGTTGGACCACAGCACAACCCGTGCCGTCCATTCTCTCTCCTTCCACCCCACAGAGGCTTGTCTTATCTCAGCATCTGGGGATAAACTATTTGTATGGAAGAACAGATATGCCGCCTCTCAAAGCTGATCTCACAAACAAATGCAGCTCCTTCAAGTGATGACTTATATGGAAGACCAGTTGTACATTGAAACATGACTGTCAAGAGATGACTTGTGGAAGGCCACTTATGCCTTCTCCCAGAGACTGATACACTGAATGTATGGAATATCAAACATGTATCTTCCTCGGGCTGTTCACAGAGACTGATGCACTATGTATGGAAGACCAAACATGTATCCACCTAGGGATGTTCACAGAGACTGATGCACTATGTATGGAAGACCAAACATGTATCTTCCTAGGGATGTTCACAGAGACTGATGCACTATGTATGGAAGACCAAACATGTATCTTCCTAGGGCTGTTCACAGAGACTGATACACTATGTGTGGAAGATCAAACATGTATCTTCCTAGGGCTGTTCACAGAGACTGATGCACTATGTATGGAAGACCAAACATGTATCCACCTAGGGATGTTCACACTGTATGTATTGAAGACCAAACATGACACTCCATAGGGCAGTTCACAGAGTTGGGTGCATGGGTAGTCCTTTCTAATGTGCCGTTAAACTCTACGCAGAGTTTTGTCTCCTAGGAGTGCCAGAATTATATGATCATGGGTTTGAATCCCAGAATTGCCCTGATTATGTTTCTAGGTTTGCCTGCACCATAACCTTCCTTTTCCTGTGAAGATCTGGATAGAATTGGTCCTCAGCAACCCATGCTTGTCGTAAGAGGTGACTAACAGGATTGGATGGTCAGGCTTGCTGACTTGGTTGATGCATGTCATTGTATCCCAATTGTGTAGAATGATGCGCATGATGTCAATCACTGGATTGTCTGGCCCAGACTCAATTATTTACAAACCACAGTCTTATAGCTGGAATATTGCTGAGTGTAGTGTTAAACAACAAACATTACCATCCTCATGGGTTTCACTGAAGTGGTAAACTGCATGGCTATAGGTTTTCTCCCCACATCAAGCTGACACTGGATGATATGACTGAAATACTGTTCAAAGTAGGGTTAAACCAAACTCACCATCTCACAGTGAATGATACCTTTTAGAGCTGATCACTGAGAAAGGCACATGAGTAGGGGATGAAATGTATGTAAGTCCTACCAACTTTGAAAGTGAATAAATGACTCTATTCTTGTATTTCTTTGTCACTGATTTGTGCTGTGTGTCACAATAGACTTTTTCTTACAAACTGTAAGTAGTATCAAACTGTAATTTTTATATGTTTTGGAGGGGGGATAATGGCAGAAGTCTTACCCACAGCATTGGGCCTGAGCAACTATCCAGGCACTGGTTGCCTTGCCAAGACATCCAGGCAGATCAGGACATTGTTACTACCCGTCTCCTCAAAGAGTAGGCTCTCCCAACAAGCATGGCCTTGAGAAACTGTTGTGTTCAGGAGACCCTGCGTGAGTTGCTTTCAAAAACAGCAGAAATATTAGTTTATCGTATCGTGTATGGTCATTTTATATCCACTTCCAGGCAGATTGGTCTTGAAACTGAAAGGGTAGTATGTGCGACAATAATTATAGTATATAGAGTTACCTCCCCTACTCCACTAACGTTACAACAAACATGGCCGTGTGATGTGTTATCTGATGAACCTTAGCGTATGTAATACATCACTTAGACCATAGCCATACCTGGCAGTCAGAACGCATATATAACCTTTCTTCTGGTTGGGAAATACGGATCACCCCAAAAGCATGACATTTACAAAAGTGTGTACTTGATCTATCATCTGTTTGCCCAGAAATTTAAACCAGACTAAAAACTAAAACTTTTCTCAAGTTTCCTTCTTTTTCTCCATGCTTCAAATGTCTTTCGTCATTTGCAAGACAGCTGCCACGCTTTCTTTGTTATCTCGGAATGTCAACATGCATTGTTCTGAAGTCACCATTTCCTATTACCCTGGGTTATTCGAAACTAATGCATTCGTCTCGTGTGTTAATAATTCATACATCTTGCACAATATCATCAATAAATACCACCCTCCCGTCTCAAATTACGCTCCACTGAGCGTAAACTTTCACGGCAATGAGTGCTAAGGCATTCATTTGGCGAGCGACAGTTCTCGTAACAGGCGTTTTATATAATGTGATGTAAATAAATTACGAGATGCGCGACGAGGCGTGCGGTGAATAGTTTATCTGATAAACTTTAATCGGATTATATTCGGATTTAGCACTGAATCAAAGGTACATGAGTACGTGTTTGATGAAGCGTTTGACTAGTGTAAATAATAAATGGAGTGTAGTCGTTGAAGTCTTGCAGGAGGGATGCTGCACTTTACAATGATGTGCTTCAGGGTCTATGTAACTGTGATTGAAAACGAAGCCTACTGCTTAATTGACTGCTTCTGTTCAGATCTTCGTTTCAAACTTTTTAACTGCACCCCTAGAAAACCACATTTTGTATTCATTGGTCAGTCCTGCAAAGCTGGTATCAATTTTATCTTTTAATGCTTTATTACCACACTTATCTTTTACTTGACTTAAAATGTATTTAAGGAGGCTTGTAAATAGTATTAAGTCTCCATCCAACTTTATCTACCTTAAGTTCAAACGTGTTTTATATATTTATTGCAAGAAACATTCCATTACGGAACAGAGGCAATTTTGTAGACATACACATAATCAATTGACATAAACATGCATGTAACATTGAGAGAGTATTTACTGAAGAAGTAAAAGAAACAGTGGTGAGGCATTTATTTGGCAAACGATCATTCTCATAACAGACGTTTTATATAATGTGTAAATAAATTACGACACACACACACACACACACACACACACACACACACACACACACACACACATACATACGGGGGGCACGGGTGGCCCAGTCGTCTAAGGCGCCGCGATTCGCTGTGCAGAGTTGCGTCCCTTGGGCACGCCAGAAACCTATGATTGTGGGTTCGAATCCCGGTTCGCCCCGTGCTCGTGGGTTTCACCGAAGTGGTAAACGTCTGAGACCTGCATCACTTCGGGCTTTCCTCCCACATTAAGCTGACACGCCGCGATATAACTAGAATACTGTTAAAAGCGGCGTTAAACCCAACTCACTCACATACATACATAGTAATTACATACATACATACATATTCCATGTTAGATACGTAGTTTGTATATATGTGTCCCACAAGCCAGGCGCTATAACACTCTTGTCTGTCTGTACAACATTTTTATTTTATTGATGTGAGTATAACGCGAGACACAGAATCTCTCATCTCATTTATATACTCCCTCTCTGTGACTTGTGGTGTGGATTGGATTTGGTGGATTGTGAACCGCCCGCGTTCAGACTGCATGTCATAGTGTTATGAAACAGGCAAAACAAAATTAAGTTAAGGTTTGTGTGGTTTGGGTTACTAACGCCGCATTGAACAGTCTTTGATTTGTAAGATTTTGTATCGCATGAACCGCCTCTATGGTCTAGTGGATAGGGCGTCTATCCGGAGAGCGGATGGTCGGTGGTTCGATAAACGGCTGCGTCATTCTTAAGCCGTTAAAAGATGGTACTTCTTGTTACCATGCCTAGCGTTCGGCATTGTGCGATAGAACAAGGACTGGTCGGTTCGGAGTCAGTATACTGTGTCTGAGTGAGGTATGCTGCATGGTATCTCAGTGGTCTAGCACTGTAAAACCGACTTTTGTCCGGGCTAGTACAAGCAGACACGCATACGCACACACTCATACGTGCATGCATGTATCTATGTAAGTAAAAGGCGACTATGCTTGTCGTAAAAGGCGACTAACGGGATCGGGTGGTCAGGCTTGGTGACTTGGTTGATACATGTCATCGATCCCAATTGCGTGGATCGATGCTCATGATGTCAATCACTGGATTGTCTGGTCCATACTCGATTATTTTACAAACCGCCGTCATATAGCTGAAATATTGCTGAGCGCGGCGTTAAACAACAAACAAACAAAACTTACGTTAGTGCAACTATCTTGAACGCGACGTAAACCCCATTTCACCTCACCTCATATACTGACTCCCCGGTTTCTGTCACTAGGCGTGTCAATTTATTGTGGGAGGAAAGACCGATGTGATGCAGGTTTTCGACCACCCAAGAGCAAGTGTGATGCAGACAAATCACGGATCATAATCAGGGCGAATCTGGGATTCGAACTCGGGATCACAGGATCCTCGCATCCCTAAGGGAAGCAACTCTGCACGGCGTATGGCGTAGCCTTGGACGACTGAGCTACCGCGCCCCCTGTATATAAGGATGTAGCCATACAAGATCACAATGAACTAACGGACACGGTATGATGAGAGCCCTTGCCTGCAGAATTTAAGAAATGACCAAACCTTTAGATTTTGTTAAGAAAGTTATATGAGATGTGTTCAAATAAGTGAAAATTAGATATGATTCATTTCAAGACTTATCACTACACTAGATGTGTAGGTAAAGCTACAATGTGTCAACAAGACTGATTTCAGAGGATTTCGGGAAGCCTACTTCTAATATTGGAACATGAGCAAGTCTTTGCACCCAAGCTGAATTTTCAGATATAGGTAACATCAGTTAAAAACATGGGTAAAATGCTAATCAGATCTTCTTTTGTAATTCGAAAAAAACACAGTCCTTTTCTTTCATTTTAGCCATGTTTACGTATTAGATCATGTCTGAAGTCCAAAACGCCCACGAAGGTGTGAGAAAGAAAAACTGCTTGTTGTCAGCCATTTGAATATGTCTGATAATTGTCATTACAATTTTTCAGTTCTCCTAACTTTATAATTTGGGGCTTTATCCTAACTCGTCGTAAGCCAGCCTCGGATGTAAAATATATTTTCCATTCATCTCCGCTTTCCGCTGTGTCCAGCATAATGGCTTGTTCAGGAATGACGTCGTCGGGTTGAAGAAAAATAGTTGACGTTTAAAAATAAATATTTTATAAAATGTAAATGCAAAGAAACCATATTGTAAACATGGACGTTTTTATTCTTTCTTTATATCTAAAACTGGCTGTGAGTGTCCAAAACCAGACGAGGACTGTTAGGAATTCCGTATGTTGAACCATTTTCATCAACGTTGGTCAACGTTGTGACCAGTAGACCATTGGGCAACTAAGACGTTTCATTGCAATGTTTAGAACTGAAAATGAAAGGAGTGAGTGAGTATGGTTTTGCGCCCCACTTAGGAATATTCCAGGCGGGGGATACCAGGAAATGACGTCACACACAATACCCTTTTGAGGAATCGAACCCGGGCCATCGACGCAACGTCCGAACGGTTTAATCACCGGACTACTCCATCACCCTAAATGGAAAGAATGAAGGAAAGAAGTGTTGAGACCGCCCCTTCAGTTATCATCCTTGAGGCAACATATGGGAGCATACACTTGTGGTGATGACAGATTTACTGTTATAGCTTGTGTTTTCAGTTTCCGTGATGGCCCCCGACAGGTTATATATGTTTGTGATGAAAGGGAACAAATCTTTAGTCCCGTGCTGTCCATGGCAGAAAGCTGAGGAGACTTGTGTTTAAATTACTTGAGTGAGTGAGTTGGGTTTAACGCCGCTTTTCACATTATTCCAGTTATATCACGGCGTTTCAGCTTAATGTGGGAGGAAAGCCCGAAGTGATGCAGGTCTCGGACGTTTACCACTTCGGTGAAACCCACGAGCACGGGTATGGTGCTGACAAATGTAGAAACATAATCAGGGTGAGCCGGGATTCGAACCCACAATCATAGGTTTCTGGCGTGTCCAGGGGACGCAACTCTGCACAGCGAATCGCGGCGCCTTAGACGACTGGGCCACCCGTGCCCTCCT